CGCATAATTAAAGATAGATTTACTAAGTGGAGCATCATATCTAAGGACCACATTAACTTTAGGGATAGGTGTCACTCGTCTGAATGATCGCATCCTCTGCTGTTAATACGTCTATTATAAATAATGCTGTTGTAAAGCGGACCCGGGTAACGCATGCTAATAAAAAATTGTTTGGGACACTTAGGAGTTTCTTTACGTATACAACCTGTTTGTTGAATGCATCCACCCAACCTAAATCGTCCATGTTATATGAGTGTAACATGGACTGTGGCTGCATCGGTGACAGCGTTTTTGGAAACAAGGAAACAAGGAATCCTAGACAGAGAATTCTGTCATCTACTATAAATCCAGATAGCAACTACGGAATCAAACCAAGTAGAGATGAAAGTGGATGACAAAATATACACACACTTGCATATAAGCTGAAACGCATAAAAACGCATCTTCGCAACGGCAGTCGGTGGATTGGCCATTTATTCTTTTTGGGTTTTGCTTTTGTTCCTGCGTCCAGGTTTGCTTTATTTTTTATGCGTTTTTTGCCGTGTAACAGCAGTCCAAAACCCATATTGTCATGGGCTTGTCTGTGTGTGTGTGTCTGTAGCAATTTGTCAGCAACTTTCAACTCGGGAACTACAAAAGTTAGTAAGCTGAAAATTTAGGGGAGTGTTTCCCACCCACATATAACCCCGCAGATTTAGATTTTCCCTCACCGTACTCGCGGCTAACACGTATGGCCCCGTAAAAGTTTTGGCGGACTATTATCTCGGAAACCACGGAAGCTAAGAAGCTGAACTTTCATGGGTATGTCTCCTGCCCACGTGCGGTCCAGAAAATTTAAATTCAGCCTTCCCATGCCCGTGGATGACGTATACGGCCCCGTGGAACTTTTGGCGGGTAAATTATTATTTCGGGAACCACGGGGTCTAGGAAGCTGAAATTTTAGGATAATGACCATCTGCTCACATATGACTTTGCAAATTCAAATTCAGCGTTCCCGCTGGTACCAACTACGGCCCCATGAAAGTTTTAGCGGGCAAATTTTTATCTCGGGAGCTATAAAAGCCAAGAGGCTGAAATCTTGCGATAATGTCCCCTGCTCACATACAATGCTGTAAATTTAAATTTAATTGTCTGCGCTTGAATTTAAATACAGCAGACTTCCTACTAATCCACAGCTTCTCCTCCGCCGTTATGTCGACGACATTTTAGTCCTCAACTGCCGGGACTCCCTTTGTCGAGACATTTACGGCCAGGACCTAGACATAGAATACACAGGTTCAGGTACCATCGTCAACTACTTAGACTTGACCCTTACCATAGACAGCAATGTTCGTGTCGTTTCTTCACTATACTGCAAGGCCGATCTTTCCACCTTCCCCATCATTAAATACTCTTCTCTTCGCAGCAACTTACACCATTCTGTCCACAGTGGTATCGTCTACAGCCAGCTTAACAGATACTTAGTTTTCGAATCCACTTATCAAGGATTTATCACGTCCGCTTGTCGACTTCTCCACTACTCACACAAGGGACTTTCTTCTCATAACATTAGTCGTCTAGTCAACACATTTGTGCACATAAATACATACCAGCTTTCTAAATATTTCCCTCCTACAGAGGCCCATTGTCAACTGATACACGCTCTTCTACAATAACTGCACCCGAATGCACGTATAAGTCGCGCTGTTAGCGTTCCGTTCATATTGCTACTTCCTCCTCTCGACACTTCTCCACTTCTACATTACAACCTTCTAATCCTTTTCAAATGCCTAAATTTATACTTTTTGAAAATTCTTCCTGTTCCTATCTTCTTTCTTCCTGCGTTCCATTCCTTCCCATCTCTGAACACTGCGACCGTCATACTGACGAGGTCCAGTCGCGGTGTTGAGCTAAGACGCATATGACTTCATGGACCGAAACGTCTTAACTCTCCCGTACTTATTTTTCCTGTACCAGCAATATTTCTGCCTCTTGCATTACATAGTTCATTCTATTCTTGCCTTCTTTTCTACGTTCTTCATATTACTTTCATGCTACAATCATGCGATAATCAGGTTAGTCTTCCCGCACATCCGAGTATCACTTACAGCTGCGTGAAAGTTTCGGTAGGTAAGATTACTATCTCGGGAACCGCGGAAGTTGGGGATCTGAAATTTTACAGCGATGTATGCCCTCCTCCAACATACAGACCCGCAAATTTGGACTCAGTTTTTAAGCATCCCTGATTATCACGTATGGCCTCGTGAAAGTTTTGGTAGGGAAATTATCTCGTAAACTGCAAAAACCAGAAAGCTGGAATTTTAGCATGATATCCCCTGCCCACATACAATCCCGCAAATTTTCAGCGTCCCTGCGGAAGTTTTGGCGGGAAAACTTATCTCGAGAGCCTGAAGAGCCAGGAGGCTGAAAATTTCGGGAGGATGTTTCCTACCTAAGCAGAGGCTTTACAAACTCGAATTCAGTTCCTCAGTATGCCAGACTCTCACAAACGCGTGAAATTTTTGCCATAGAAATCACCCGAAACCCAGAAAATCAGGAGGCTGAAATCGTGGAAGAATATCCACCCTTCAAGGTTTCAAATTCACCTTCAGCATACCGGTGTGTGAAATTTTTAGTGGAAAATTCTGCGACTAAAAAACAGACATTTCAACTGTTTTTGCACAGACCAAAGTGCAAAGCAGTGAAAATCATTAGTTCGATGGACGGAATTGCAGAAAAAGCATAATCGCACCGGCTGCTCTAGTGCGCGCCTTTTTTTTTGCAGCACTTTGTTTTCTCCTCCTCTTTACTGGTGTCTACAATTTTTGCCTCCACTTTTATCCTCATTCCCTTTCTTTATTGTGTCCTCAAATCCTGCCTGCAAAGCAACATCTCCATCCCCACTGTAAGAGCACTCTGGAAGCAAACAGTATTTCAGGCCTTCCCTTACCCCGGATTTTCCATAGCAAAAACCAGGAGTACACTCCCTCCCCTTTTCCACCCATCATTCCCTCTCCCTCTCCCCTCCAAGTGTTCTTAGCCAAATAGCAAATGATCTACACCATGTAGCCATTAAATTCATCTGTCCCAGTCCCCATTTCCTTCCCTTGCCTCGAACGA